GTGCTTAAATGAAATAAATAATTGATTGGTATTTAGTTTTAGTTTTTAATCAATTTATATGTATAATTTATATTAATAAATATTATATTATTCTAATTATACATATGACTTTGGATATATTATTACCGGTTTAATTACATTTTTTTATCAATAGTCGGTTTGGTTATCAATTTGGTATATTAGATAATATTTATTTTTTTAATTCAGCTATAATATTTTTTATTCTAAATATAATAAAACTTTGATTAATTTTCTTATTTTCATTTCGGATGGTTATTGTCTTTATATATGTAAATATATTCTTAGATATGTAATTATATTATAGTTAAATTATGTATAACTTAATATATATATGTATATATATATATATATATATTGTGCTTAAAATGAAATAAATAATAAGCTGAAGTGTTTAATTCAAAATTACATAAATGAATATAATGATAATATTTTGAAGTCGCATGCATATATATATAAATTCTAAAAATAATTAAATCGTAATTGGTTAATATTTTCTTTTTCTTTTTAATAAGATTTGGGTCAACCTCTAGTTTATATGTATAAAACTAAATAGATTATTATTATTATTATTATTATTATTATTATTATTATTATTATTATTATTATTATTATTATAAAATTTTATGTTCTTATTGCAGTTAGTTGATTAATTTTGAATATAAATTAGATTAGCCGAGTTATTCATTTTGTGAGTATATTGAATATCATATATTTGTAAATTAAAATTGAAGAATACTTAATTTTTATTTTAGTTAAGTCAAATCAAATTAGTTTTATTTATCACTTAAATATACATGTATTTTCATAATATTTATTTACTATTTATTTTAGTTAAGTCAAATCAAATTAGTTTTAGTTATCGCTTAAATATACATGTATTTTCATAATATTTATCAAATTATATGTTGATTTCTAAAAAAATATTAGAAAATAAAGTGCAACTGATAAGTTTTTGGATGTTCATGAACATATATATTTTTATTATTTTGAAAATATATTTTATGTTATTTTAAAATATATATTAATGGGGTATTGCTATTTTGTGAACTTTCCGTTTTAATAAAGTCATATTATATATATATATATATATATATATATTTCGTTTTTAAAATTTGTTTTAAAATTTTAGAAATATTTCCTTTTTATTGTATATGTTATTTGGAAAAAGGTAAAAAAAACTAAATAAAAAATAATAATCTTAAAATCTAACAAATCATTAAGGGTATCTATGTAATCAACCATCGTGAGAGTTAACGTGAGCGCGACACGTAGGAAACTGACTTCTCAAATAATATTATAGAGATTTGTTGTATATATATAAAAAGTCATCTTTTACTCTATAATTCTGACTAAAACAATTTATACTATAAAATGGATGGAGTACAATTTTTTTTTTTTATAAATTCTTCACATCTCCAAATCCAAAATTAAATTTTCTAATCATTACAAGCAGATTGTCTAAATCAAAAAATTAAAAACAAGAATCATTTTAAGTAATTAATACTGTAGCAGTTGTTAACATATAAACAACATGCGAAGTTAATGTTATAACCAAACGCGCGATCTCAAAAAAAACACGCGTCTCAAGTCCTGAACCTACCCCTCTCGCTTATATGTAAATAACACAAGAACCAAAGGGTACTTTCGTAACTTTAATCTGTATATAAACAACTCCTCTAACTCTTCTTCCCTCTCAACGGAGTCTTGTCTTTGGTGTTTGATCCTCAAAAAAATCCCAAAATTCTCAGAGAAGGTAACAATCACTTTCCTCGTAACGTTTCATTTCTAAAGTTTCTTACTTTATATATAGCAATCTCTCACCTTCGTTAGAACTAAAGTCTAAAGTCTTTAGCTTTTCGTTAGATCTGGATCTAAAGGTTTCATTTTTATTGTAATAACGCATGAAAGTTTGTTTCTTTTTTGTTTGTTTTTTAGATGTCTTCATACACACCCAAGAACATTCTCATCACCGGAGCTGCTGGTTTCATTGCCTCCCATGTCGCGAACAGACTCATAAGAACCTACCCTCATTACAAGATCGTTGTCCTCGACAAACTCGACTACTGTTCCAACCTCAAGAACCTAAACCCTTCGAGAAACTCACCCAACTTCAAGTTCGTGAAAGGAGACATCGCAAGTGCTGATCTTGTCAACCATCTTCTTATCACCGAAGGTATCGACACTATCATGCACTTCGCTGCTCAGACACATGTTGATAACTCGTTTGGTAATAGTTTCGAGTTTACTAAGAACAACATCTATGGGACTCATGTGCTTCTCGAGGCTTGTAAGGTTACTGGTCAGATACGGAGGTTTATTCATGTGAGTACTGATGAGGTTTATGGTGAGACTGATGAGGATGCTCTTGTTGGTAACCATGAGGCTTCTCAGCTTCTTCCGACGAATCCTTACTCTGCTACTAAGGCTGGTGCGGAGATGCTTGTGATGGCGTATGGGAGGTCTTACGGGTTGCCTGTGATTACAACTCGTGGGAATAATGTTTATGGTCCGAATCAGTTTCCTGAGAAGCTGATTCCGAAGTTTATTTTGTTGGCGATGAGAGGGAAGGTTCTTCCGATTCATGGAGATGGGTCTAATGTGAGGAGTTATCTTTACTGTGAAGATGTTGCTGAGGCGTTTGAGGTGATTCTTCACAAGGGTGAGGTTGGTCATGTTTATAATATTGGGACTAAGAAGGAGAGGAGGGTGAATGATGTTGCTAGAGATGTTTGCAAGCTCTTCAACGTTGACCCTGAGAAGAGTATTAAGTTTGTGGAGAATAGGCCTTTTAATGATCAGAGGTACTTCCTTGATGATGAGAAGCTGAAGAAGTTGGGGTGGTCTGAGAGGACAACGTGGGAAGAAGGTTTGAAGAAGACTATGGAGTGGTATACTCAGAACCCTGAGTGGTGGGGTGATGTCTCTGGAGCGTTGCTTCCTCATCCAAGGATGCTGATGATGCCTGGTGGGAGACACTTTGATGGTTCTGAGGAGAGTTCTTTGGCAGCAGCTTCGGTGTCAGACAAGCCGAGTCAGACCCACATGGTGGTTCCAAGCACAAGGACAGCACAGAAGCCTTCTCTCAAGTTCTTGATATATGGGAAGACAGGATGGATCGGTGGTTTGCTTGGGAAGCTATGTGAGAAGCAAGGGATTGCTTATGAGTATGGGAAAGGAAGGTTGGAGGATAGAGCATCTCTTCTGCAGGATATTTTGAGCGTTAAGCCAACTCATGTTTTCAACTCAGCTGGTGTCACTGGGAGACCTAATGTTGACTGGTGTGAGTCTCACAAGACAGAGACTATCCGTGCTAATGTAGCTGGAACTTTGACTCTAGCTGATGTCTGTAGAGAGCATGGCCTCCTGATGATGAACTTCGCTACTGGTTGTATATTTGAATATGATGAGAAGCATCCTGAAGGTTCAGGTATTGGCTTCAAGGAGGAAGACACTCCCAACTTCACTGGCTCTTTCTACTCAAAAACCAAAGCCATGGTAGTTAACTAACTCTTGCTCTGTCATGATCCAAAGACTCTTTATCTTTAATGTTATGAATGTGTCTTGCTTGCAGGTGGAGGAGTTGTTAAAGGAGTTTGACAATGTATGCACATTGAGAGTAAGGATGCCAATCTCTTCAGATCTAAACAACCCACGCAACTTCATCACCAAGATCTCAAGGTACAACAAAGTAGTGAACATCCCAAACAGCATGACCGTGTTGGACGAGCTTTTACCAATCTCCATCGAGATGGCGAAGAGGAACTTGAAAGGGATCTGGAACTTCACAAACCCAGGTGTGGTGAGTCACAACGAGATCCTAGAGATGTACAGAGACTACATCAACCCTGAGTTCAAATGGGCAAACTTCACGTTAGAGGAGCAAGCTAAAGTCATTGTAGCTCCAAGAAGTAACAACGAGATGGATGCTTCTAAGCTCAAGAAAGAGTTCCCTGAGCTACTCTCCATCAAGGAGTCTTTGATCAAGTATGCATTTGAGCCAAACAAGAAGACTTGAAAAGAGAGAAAAGGTTGTGATTCTTCATTAGATTCACTGATATCAACTATATGTTTTGTTTATTGTTCTTGTTATATTGTTTAATAACCCCTACTATCACTAGCTTTGCTTAGGGGTGTGTTATAATTTGATTATTCTATGTAATAGAAGCTTGATTTTCATTAGTTTTGTTCTTTGTGTATGCATACTATTTATTCATCACTTGCTCTACTCTTTATTATATTAGAATCAAAACAACTAAAAAGAGTCTGGTAATGGTTACTTGTTACAAAACAATTATTTATTGGGGTTACAAGAACTCTCAGTTCAGACCGCCTAGGAATCTAAGATGATGACGATGAGTTAGGAACCGACGTGTTGGAGAAATATGAGGATGATGAGCTAGGCACTGACGTGTCGGCAAGCTTCTCCAAGAAGCAAACAACATCATCAGGTGAGCCAAGGAGGTATCTAGCACTGGTGCGAGTACGACCAACTGCACAAGAGAAGTAGTTCTCTCCTTTGAGGTCAAGCACGTTCCATGAGATCTTCTCTGGTGAAGGACGTCTTGAGTTCCCTAAGCTATGGTTGTTGGAACCACTACTTTTTCTCTCTGTTGCTGTCTGCAGAGATCTCTGTGAGGCCTTGTTGTTGTTGTTGTGGTTAGAGTTAGAGGATGAAGATTTTGAACTGCTTTTGTTGTTGTTGTTGTTGTGTGTTGACTTTGAAGGTGGTCTTCTCTCTCCTCCTGATGATGACCTGGTACCACTTTCAGATGATGGTCTGGACCGTGAAATGGCTGGGATGATGTCTGATGGTAGTTCTGGTTCAAAGAAAGTGTACACATCTTCGTCCTTCCCCAAGAAATGGCCAATGCACAAGACGTAATCTATTGGTGTGGTCATGGACTTGCTGTGCACTATCTCTCCTAGAATGCGATCAATTGCAGCTCCCTTGGTCACACCTACGGCACGGACTTCAACAGAGCGGCTTCCTTGGACAACATCTACTGATGCATTAGAGATTGGTCCTGTCCATAAGTGCTGTAACAGGTCTCTTGCTTGAAGTCTCCCAAACTCAATATCTGCAATGAGAATTGAGTTAAGACTTGTTGAATGATTGGTACAAGGCAGAACCAATAGGGGTGTGGTTAGTTACCTGCATATTTGTAGTTCCATATAAGAGAAGTATCTCTTGTTTCAAAGTGTGACCTTGGTGTTCTCTCAGTGAAGTACTTGAAAACATGCTACACAATAGGAAGAAACAAAAAAAAACAGAACTCAGATTGAGTTTGAGATGTGGTTTTGTTTATAGATTGCAGGGATCTTATTACCTTAACGCTATCAACCCATTCCATGTTCAAGTGTTCTGGCATTGTAGTCATCCACTCTCCATTAGTAAGCCTTAAGAACATCCCATTCTCTGCTGCCAACCACATATCATACTCTCCAAAGTTCTGATTTTAAGTAAACCATGTCAGCGAGTGAAAGTGTTATAACAAGAAAAGGAAACAAACAGGGCAAAATATACTTTGTCCAAAACGCTTCTGCTGCTTCCGCTCAGGACAACTATAGTTGTATTTGGATCACTGCATAGTGCTTTTAACGGTCCTTTAAGCTCAGGGTGTAGGTTAAGATCCATCTCCTTTATCTGATCACCTCTTCTCCCTTGGTTATCCACTGGTTCAGTCAATGTTGCATTGAAACCCTGAATGTTTTTTCAAAGTTACAAAGAGAAAGTGACCAAAAAGTATGGTAAAGGCATCCCCTAAAACATGAATTTTAGTTTCTAAAATCAAGTTACCAGGATGAGTAGCCTGTTGGTTGACTTTGAATACCGTCGAATAGCATCATCCTGTGGAAGCTCAGGTGGGACTTTGCTGATTCTTAGTTGTGCCTCAATCACAGTATCATTTAGTTCACTGCAGGTTTTGTTAAAAGTGTTACATTACAATAGCTTACAAGGATCATCTCATCTCATTCAGCATTACTGATTTGCATACCTCACAAAAGTTTCAGCCCATTCTTGAGCAGTGTGAGTTTTGACATGATGAAAGTTATGCCAATGTCTTTTTTCTCTTTCTTCAGCTGACATATTCAAGGCCTGTCCAATGGAGGCAGCAACTTCTGTAATGTTCCAAGGATTCACAAGAATGGCTCCAGCACCTAGAGACTGTGCAGCACCTGCAAACTGTAAACACAAATGCAACATTAGAAAAAACACTTTGATGGTCTGAGGCAAAGCTTCATGAAGCTGCAGAGTGAGAGAGTTATTACTTCACTGAGAATGAGGACGCCCTTTTTAGCCTCTTGGCAAGCAACAAATTCATAACTGACAAGATTCATCCCATCTCTAAGAGATGTGACTAGTGCAACATCTGATGAAACCAAAAGAAACTAATCAGATGAAAAGAAAGTAACAAACCATACAACAAAGTAGCTAAACAATTACCTGTGACGGCATAAAGTGCACATAAAGCATAAAAGTCCAGAGAACGATCCTGATCACAGGTAATGAAAACTTTATCAGCATTATCTCAGAGTTTCATGTTACTATATAAGATCTACAACATCAAATATGTATGCATGATGCAGATACTCTTTTAACGGTCTACTAATAGCCGTAGAAGTCTAACATTCAATTGTATAAAGCAATGTAGAGGGAGAAACAGACCAGGTGATGTATTGGAACTTGAGTCAGTGTCCCAAAACGACCATTAATGCGTCCAACAATCTCATGAACTTGGCTTGTGAGTTTTTGATCTGTAAGAAAACAAGCAATTACATCCACAAGTCCATGCATAAGCTACGTTTCATGAGTGAAGCTAACTAACTCCATTTGAAGAGCTGCCATGCAAAAAAAAAAAACAGAGTCCAAGAAATCAAGAAAGGCTTACATTCAGAGACATCTGTTCTTGTTGGCACTGCAATTTGCAGCAACACCACTTTATCACGCCAGCTTGCGTTTTCCTCAAGAAATTTTTCAAATGCAAGAATCTTTTGTGGAATCCCTTTGATCATATCAAGCCTGTCAACACCTAACATCACCTGCCAATACAATAAAATCATTAAATTCAGAGAATAAACACTTCCATTGACTTAGCCTCAGAAGAGCTTTCATAAACCATACCTTTCTACCAGCAAACCGTTCTTTTAACTCCTTCATGTGTTGTATCACGTCAGGGACTTCAAGTGCTCTTATAAACCGCTCAGAATCTATACCAATTGGAAACTGAAACACAAAGACAAACAAAGATACTATGACAAGGCTTCCAAAAAGGACAATGTGTTATGTCATGAAATGGACATACAGCTGCTACTCGAGTGAGCCTGCCTTGATCCTCAACACCTTCAGGTGTTCCTTCAAGCCCAAGAATACGTGTGCACGCACTCACAAAGTGTCTTGCATAGTCATACGTATGAAAACTGCAAAAAAAATACACAACACACATAGATATTGAATCTGTCATAATCACATAGTAATAACTAGAATCAAGTAGAGACATTACCCAACTAAATCAGCAGCAAGAACTGATCTAAGCAGCTCTGATCTTGAAGGAAGTGTCCTGTGAATCTCAGAAGAAGGAAACGGTGTGTGTAGAAACCACCCAACTTTCATCTTACTATTATACTCCTTAAGACACTTAGGAAGGAACATGAGATGATAATCATGGCACCAGACAACATCTCCTTCCTCATAATGCTCATTCACAACATCAGCAAACATTTGATTCGCTTTCTTGTATGCAGTGAACTGAGACTGAAAGCTTCTTGTTGTTGCGAGACGGTCTTCTTGTGGAAGTCCAAGGTAATGAAACAGAGGCCATAAGATGTTGTTGCAGTAACCATTATAGTACTGATGCACAATCTCTTCATCAAGAAACACAGGTATACACCTCTACAAGTTCAAAAGAAACAATCAAGAGACTATTCTCATTGTCTATAAGATCAAAAAGAGAATACTATGTTGTTACCTTCTCAGCTAAAGCTTTGGTAAGTGCCTTCTGACCAACCTCATCAGGTACATTAACACCAGCCCAACCAATCCATCTAGCTTCAAACTCTTTAACACCTAAGAGAGCACTAACTAAACCACCAGCACTGATCTCAAGAGACCATGAATCTTCACCTCTTCTCACAGCAGAAACTGGGAGCCTGTTAGCTACTACAAGGAGCCTTTGCCTGTTATAAGGCCTTACTTCTTGTCTCTCACAGGCATCATCGTGTGCCCTAGCAGCAGCAGCACCTTCCAAATACTGCTCAACATATTGCCTTGAACTGGTCTCACCTTCTAAACGAAGATCGTTCTCAGAGTTGTCAGAAGTGTCATTAGGATTGAGAGCACGGTTGTTCCTCCTCTTCTCTCTAAGCTCTCTTTCTCTCAAGAGCCGTTCTGTCCTAGAGAGTGGGATGTGTGAAGAACTGCAGTTGTACTTGTTCCCAGGCATACGCTCACACTAAAACAGAACCAAAACTCAGTTTCAATCCAGAAAAGGAAGGTCACCTGCATTAAAAAAAGCAAATCAGGCCACATTATAAAATAAAGAAAAAAATATATATAAAACTTGAAATATTTCACTTCTGCTGAATGTAAAAAGAAGCAATAAGCATCTCTAAAGTTGTTGCAAAAGACAAAAAAAAATACACAAAAGATAATGAGGTTGTAAAAAGGCCAAGAACTTAGAAACAGAAGCAAGAAACCTGGAAGAAGAAAAAGAATTACACAATACTAACCAAGAAGGGCACATGAATCAAACATCTTTCACAGCCACTCAAAGAAAAAAAAGTGACCAGTGAACCTTATACACACAAGAGCAAGACAAAAAGGCTTAATTTAGAGGATATTTTTTGTTTGTTTTGGAGGTGGGTTTCAAGTCGTTATCAACGAGAGAGATGGTAAGTAAATAGAGACAATAGAAACGAAAGAGATAGTGATGAGAAGTTGAAAGGGAACGGTGGGAGAGACATTATCATAGAGAGAGAGAGAGAGAGGGAGGGAGCAGCAAAATCCTCGTGTAAGCT